CAACTCTGTTCTCCTTAAATTTAAAGCTTGCATATTTGCTGCCATCCCTACTCTGCTTTCGTTTTTGTTTCTTAATCCATGCCTGGCTGCAGTCTGCAGGTGCTGATACGCACAGATGGGGTAATAGCTTCAGTTTTAGGAATTGTATGAAACAGATTTTCTACACAGAGAAAAAGGACTTCTGCTTAAGTCAAATTTTGCAGAGCAGTTTTTGAGAAACGGAATGTGAACGTCCTGTCACACCTCCCCCCATTTATTTTTCTATATTGGTAATGTGCTCTCCATTGCAAGTCATATGGATGGCAACAACGTTATTTTTTTAGCCATTAGGGGAAAGGAAATGACATATGGAGAGAATTCAAGTCCCTCCTCATTCCTAGAGAGTCTGTCCAGAAAGTCAGTATTCTGAGCTGCGTCCAAGTGTCATTTCCTGCTCAGAATTGGGAAGGGGAGCTGGGGGAAGAGGGATGCATTCGTAACGTTAAATTGCTGCTTCTGATTAACAGTAACATTCTGCAAGTGATTTTGCAGTCTTGCTTTGAACAGCATCAAACCTCCGCAGCCCAAATATGTGTAGCAATCCACTGATGAAAGAGCTATTTTTACATCTGTTTCATATAGTGGATAAAAATGAAGTGATTTGGATGATGGAAATGTGCCTTGGAGATTATTCAAGATTTTGTGATAACTCTGTACATCCATTCTTCCACATGCCCACAGAGCACAGTTACATACTTCTGGTATTAAAACTACTCTAGCACTGGGAACCTGTACACAATCCAATCTGTTCTAGATAACAAATGAAGCAGCTTTTCACTTTTATATGTGAGTGTAGATAAATAATGTGTACACATGTATGGAAATCAAACATTCAAAAGCTGATCTCATAATTTTAATTTAGCATTTCAGTGCAAACTGAGAAATATATGAAATAATGTAGAAAACTTCTTCATTATACTGCTTCTTTCACTAAGATTAGGGATGTAACCCAACCTCTTCCCCAGAGAAATCAGAGTGCCATTGATTTTGCCTTTTGTACATCAGTCAGCTGAAACTCCCTTCCTGACATATGATGTATGCATCATTTCTGGATTTTGCCCATGGTTTTGTTTAAATAAGCACAACATTTTAATGCGGTCACATTCTGCTTAGTAAGAATTAATGGGATTTTTCTCCACTCTGCTTTAATTTTTCTCTCCTTACCTCATCATTTCAAATCCCAACTTCACTTCCCTCCCACCAATGACCCTCCCTAGGGTAGTGGGTGAACTACAGCCTGGAAACAGGCCACAGCTCTTCCACGAAATCTTTTGATTTCAGTGGAAGTGCCCATTTCCTGGAGCCAGTCTGAGACAGACAGTGCTCTGCAGTCAGAAACCAGACTGGAATCCGGTGACCCTTATTCCATATGAAGTGCTGTGAAGCTCATGGTTCTTTCTTTGCTGTCCACATGCTGACTTTCTGCCTGACTTATCAAGCGTCATGTTACAGATCAGTAAAAGCAAAGTGTTTTCCAAGCACACTGAACACCTTTACACGCTTGCAGCTTGAATGTTTTTTGGAATGTATGATTTCTAAAACCTGCAATAAGTGAGGTTACACCTTTTCCAGCCTTAGGAGGGCTCACCTCAGTTCCCTCTTAGGCCTTTTTCCTGACACATCCCTCTGAAGGTGAATCAAGCTTAAGGTTTTTACTCAGGCCAAAGGTTTGCCATGTTGCCTATTAGGTTTTAAGCATAAGTGCCAATGTTTTCCTCTCCACACCAAATATGACTAGTCACAATTAATCTTCATTCATTACTTCTGCTTCAAATAACACTATTTTTTCCAGAAATTGCACATGCTCCCATGGTTTAATCCTATAGTCAAACATTTTTTCATACCTTATCATAGAAGAGATTCAGTACTGCTGGGATAACCTTACATTCATGCAAAAGGATAATTACAACTGGGGGTCCCGTGAGTTCACTGGAGGAATGGACATCGTGATTCCCAGGCTCCAGGTTAATTCTACCCATTACTTTCTGGACATCTGTGGATAACTTATATCTCAGTTTGCTCTTCTGCAAAGCAGATTTAGAAACAGAAGAGACCTATGAGATGCTGTAGGTTAGAGAATTCCTTTTCTAGTCAACTTGCAGCTGTTTCTTTTTGCTGGTACATCATCAGGTAGTTCTACACAAATTATTTCCTATAGAGCAGCAGGAACTAGCTTCATTTAAGACAATATTTCACAGTTTAAATCATGCAGAAACAAGAACATTTCTCCTAAATTGACAGGTCTAGTTTTTCTACAACTTCAAACACTTCTTTTAGCAGAAAATATGTGGACACCCTACTGAAGAACAAGACTGCAAAGCCTCTGCTCTTCCTTCACATCTCAGGAAGCAGCAGGTGGAAGCAATCACACCAACAGCACTTCCCAGCATCAGAATTTCAGAAGCTATTATGTTTGCCGGGATCTTGCCACAGATAAAGAAGAATTAGCACCAACTCCATTCCAAGGCAGTCGATGTCAGCAGGAGCCTGTTGTTGTTGCTTTCAGCACAGACAAGTCAGCAGACTGACACACAGGCCATCAGACATTTATTTCAGCCCTTGCCCTGAATTAAGTATCTGCCAAATAAATACTGCTAGCTCTTAAGTCAAGCTGGGTAACACCACAGTAGTACACAACAAAACAAAGCTACTAACAAATTAACTCAGAGAGTTAATGACTCTCCTCTCCCCTTTTGCTCCTGTCATTTTCTAAAGCTCAAAACACAGCCTAACGGGTGACTAGATTTTAACTTCAGAAATAGTTTGCATTTTCTTGAAATAAGAGAGTGACTCACCCCTGTCAGTTACTCATAATCACTGTAGATTATTGCGTGTGGAAATGCATTCTGCCAAGAGCAGGGCTTATTGGTGGATAGGTTAAATACACTTTCTGTGGTTAAAAATAAAGTATTGGTCTATCAGGCATCTAAAGATGACTGCTCAGTGTCCTATCAACTCAGTATGTTAAATAACTCTGAGACCAGTACCTCGTGACAGAAAAGTAGAGATAACATTATTCAGTAAGCATTTTCAGTTGTCATCCCAGAGAGTGTCAAATAACTGTATACATGCTAAAAAGCAATTGAAGTCAGTTGTGCATTTTAAAACAGCAGTACCTGAAAAAAAAAAAAAACACCATGCTTAGAAGACTATACCTTACATTAAATATTTAGTGTTGTTAAACACTCAGGAATTAGCACATAGTGGCTTCCTGCAATTACAGGTTAATTCTTGATAGGTTTCATCTTTTTCTTCAAAGAAAAACTAAAGCACGTCATTCCCGAGTCCTTCACATTAGAAGAAACTCCGTGCCAACCTCTTAAAAGCAGAGAACTGTGGTGCTGCCTGTAGCACCCTCTGCTGGGAGACGAATTATTTTACAGAATTAGACACCTAAAATTACTCAAGCATTCCGATTTATGTTTCACAACCCACGGACATGACTACATGGCACCAGGAGCTTTATGAAAGCTGGTTTTGCATAACTACTTTTATATAGGCTAGCTCCTTAGTTCTCTACAGACATTTACACAACTCTGTAACTGCAAGTATTTTTAGGTCAAAGTTGGAGATTCCACAGCACAGTGAAGACGACAGAAGTCTTTACTGCAGAGGCATAAAAGACCTTTGTGGTTGTCTTCTGTTGCTGCTCTTAATGTTTCTCAGAATATTTAAAGCCTCAGCATTACAAGGCAAATGATTCCTTCTACTTTAGCACAATGGGAATAGTGTAATCACATCCTACGAGCGCTGCAGTATCTGTGCTGCTAGACTTGTGTTCTACCCATCAGTCCAGCATTGTGCCACCTCTTTGTCCCTGCCAAGAGTTTATTGTGCAGCTGTCACCAAGCATATTTAATCATCACCTATTTAGCAGCATCATTATCTCTAGAGGACAGATAGAGACAGAACACTGAAACATGAACTTCACCAAAACAAATAATAGCATTACTATACCTACTAGGTGCAATAACTGATTGCAAAGCTTACTTGCTATAGCTTTGTTCTGGGCCAGGATAAAGAAGTAGTCAAAAGCAAGAAACCATCAATCAGTTCAGGAACATCTCTTATAGCAGAAGCTTACAACTCCCTGTTGATGTGATGTACCAGCAATGTAAGTCTATACAGCCATGGCCTTAGCTCCATGGATGAACTCCATGCTTGGAGATCAGCAGAAACAAGCTCATGCTAGCTCTGTTCCTTGATCCAGTATAGCCAGTGACTTTTCTCTACAAGAAAGCATGTTGCTGATAACCATAAAAATAGGAGCAGACACATACACAAAGGATTGATACCTCTTGTAACAGTACCATGATCCAGTAGTACATGACATCTCAGTTTAATAAACACTTATCATAAAATAAAGCTATTTGAAAATCTGAGAAGCTTGTGTAAGCATAAGCTTGGCCCCATTTGCTGTAGCACAGCAGATTTCTACTCTTATCCCATTTCTTCTTTAGCTGGAACTCTTGCTGAAGCATACACAGATCAGCCACTTTTCCTTTTGTGTAACAGACTGTAGCAGCCTTGCATACGGTAACCAAAGCGAGAACAGTATCTACTACTTCAAAGGAATCATTGCTGAAGTACTAACAGCACATAAGAATAACAGTAATTTAGTTAGGAAAAGCTACCATTTTAAGATCAGATGTCTTCTGTGAAGAACTGAGTTACATCCAATCATGACTCTTGTAAGCATTTTAAGATAGATACGAAGGTATATAACACAAGACCAGATACTATTACAAAGTTTCCTTTTTAAACAGGTAACTAAGTTAACTTCTTTAAGCTCTAAGGACCTGTGCTAAGACTATCTGAATATACTTACCATTGATTAACCAACTTCGGAATCAAGTTTCATGATTTACTACAGCATTCTTACCATCATGTATGTTCTGATTCATGGCATTTACTGTACCAGTTCCTAGCTCCCATTCAAGAACACAACTGACACAATTAAGTTGATGTATTGTTAACACTTTATTGAACTTGAAACGAATCCTCCTTAAAAGCTTACTCAGTGTTTTGATTGTAATATGTTACACAGAGCAAGGGGTTACATTTAAAAAGAAGCTTATACTACCTACTTGCATTCTTGTGTGAGACAGAGACAGTAAAAGGCTAGAAGACAGAAGTGAGAAGATGTATTTACAAGAATGTCAGAATGAATTTAACAGTTAAAAAATTCACATATGTACAGTTTTGAACTGTTCAAGTATGTTTCAGTTGGACAAAGTGCTAGAGGTCACAAAAAAAAAAAAAAGGGGGTGGGGGGGGCTATTAAGACACAGAAGTGGCAGCATTCATATGCCAAGTGGCTTGCAGATGGTTGCAGTGTGTGCAGCATCTAGAAGTTGAAAGTATCGGGAGTACTGCCCTGAATTTGGAAAGTATAACTAGCAGCAGTAGATTCCGGTACAACATTCTGGTCCTCCTCCTCCTAGAAGGAAACAAAGTTGGAAAGATCAGTAACATTTCAATCAATTAATCAGTGCTAGACTACAAAAGCAGAGTGAAGTTACACAGCAGCCACTTACTTCTGCTGAGAAATATTTCTCAATCAGGCTGGCTGAGGCCTTGTACACCTGTTCATTTTCATGTGACTGAAGAGCTTCAATTTTGTCTAGAGCTCCACACTCCTCAATCATGAGGCAAAGTTTCTCAGTCTCGTTTATCTTCTCAGCAGCCTGGAAAAGACAATCATGAAGTAACATCAAAGGTGTATGGTGCTAACTACTGAAAAACAGCTGGCAGCAACCTGGACAGCAACCGAACATACTGCATCCACATACCAGGAAGATATTAGAAACAGCATCCAAAATTACTAGCACAGTTTTGCTGTCTTTAGCAGTGAGGAGATTCAGTAGAGGCTCAACAACACCAGCCTGAACAAGATACACAATCTGGTCAATTGTTCCACCGCTTGTGTAGTTGGTCACAGCCCACACAGCTTCTTTTTGAGATTTGAAATCTCCCTGTGAAGGTGGAAAAAAAAAAAAAGTATTAGAATACAGACAACAATAACAAGCTGAAGCCATAGCACAGTAGATGCAACTTCCGTTTACCTTCCTCAGAACACCAATGAGATATGGCACAAGGCCATGATCCACAACTTGCTGAATCTGGTCCTGACGTCCAGCTGTGATGTTGGACATTGTCCATGCAGCTTCTTTTTGAATGTTGTTTTTATGATGAGATAGGAGGCTTGGAAAGACAGATAGGGCTCCTGAATCAATAACAATTTGTGTCTGCTCATCAGTACCAGTAACAATATTTCCTATGGCTCTCAGTGAAGGAGTCTGAAACAGATGTGAAAGCAGTAATTATGAAAAAATAGTGTCATCTAAACCACGCTTGATGAAACAGCCATCATTTATGATTCTCTGCTCCAGCCTTCTAGTTAACAGCTTGATAATAAGACCAGCTTAAAGCTCATAATGAGCATTATATAGACAGATGTTAAACACATTCGGACTACATACCTTCGAGACCCATCTGCAAGCTACTCAGGACAGAAAGTTTAAGTATTGATATAGTAATTATAGTACTGATGCAGTGTAGTTACATTGCACAAAGAACCCGATTCTAAACACTGTTTCTGGAGGGAGTATTTCCAACTATACTGTAGAACTGAAGCCAAGCTTTAAAGAACATTGATCGTCATCCTGGCCTGTGTGCAAAAACCATTCATCGTGTGTCAAGGCCACTCTTCAACAGTAGCCTATGCCTCATCTGGGATAGTTCTCAGTCAAGATAGAAGCTCAAGGCTCATGTACACAAAACCTGGAGTAAGCATCAAATTTCTGTATGACAAGATTCTTCAGTTTAAATGAATGCTATTATAACCCCAGTTTTATCCACAACTCAAGTTAAGCAGTGGCAACTTCCAGGCCCGATAGCTTACCACTATTGGCAGTTCACCACATCCCAGCAGTTTGACGAGCTGTGGCACCAATCCAGTTTTCACAACAACTTCTATCCTGTCGTTGGAACCATCTGTCAGATAGGAGAGTGCCCAGCACGTGTCTGCTAACACCTCATGATCATCGTGATGCAAGAGTCGGACGAGGGTTGGAAGAATCTGCTCAATAGCTTCCAAGGGTGGTGCAGGATTCTTGTTACGACACAAGTTTGAGAGGGTCCAGGTAACATTGCGTAAATATCCAGACTGCAGGAGTTGAAATAAACCATTAACATCTGTTACTTTAGCTCTTGGCTCACTCATCAGCAATTGTACTTTGAGTAACACTGTAAACTTACAGCCAGAGAGGAGAGATCAGGAACAGCTAGGAGAGTTAGCAGTGGCTCAATCGCACCAAATTTAATAACTAGATCCCTGTAGATAGAACCATCCCCTATAAAGATAATGAAAAAAACCGCCTGTTAAGGAACAGAAGTATGCATGCATACAATCACTGATGATGGAACATGATATTACACTTAAGGGCTAGAGAAGAAATAAGTAAAATAGGAAAAAGGGCTGTTTTGATGGTTAAGTCTTATAAAAACACAAATGTAGAAAACAACAATGCAGTTATAACACTATATTTTGGAGAATGGGATCCAATGTTGGCAGGTCAAGTAATCCTGAAAGATACATGAAAAACTTCAGTATGCTGGTTGATATGAGAGTACTAGTAACTGTTACTACTAGCAACTGTTACAAAGCAAAAAGCATCGGCCATCACATACACAGTTACATGAGCCTCCTGCTTCCTCCTTCAAGCCAGTAGACACAGCAGAGCTCACTGATAGAAGTCAAAAGCCTCCGAGGGAAAAGTTCTGTGTTCTAGCATGGTTATATAGCTTTTTGAAACTTGAATTTTAATATGTGACCCATTTAATACATCTTACAGGTTGCCAGGTTATACATGACATAAGCCTAGACTGAAGGTAAAGACTTGTCCACAGCACACTCTACATGGTAGATCACATATGTACTTGAACATCACCAAGGTAGTTTCCAAGCTCAGCATGCTCTACAGAACAAATCTAATAGTGCTCATTTATTTCAAGAAAAGGAATTAGGTTTGAAAGTTATGTAGCATATTGACATACCTGCAATATTTCCTAACGCCCACACAGCTTGTTCACTGATGTGAATGTGAGGAGAGGCCAGAAGTGAAATAAAGGCTGGGATAGCCCCACCATCCACTACCGCCTTGGTTTGCTCTGATGTGCCAGAAGCAATGTTGGTAAGTGCCCAGGCAGATTCAAACTGAATAGGACTACAGTCTGCTCTACTCAAGAAGGAGACAAATTTTGGAATCAAACCAGCCTGAATTATGTTGTCTATGGGGGGCTGCTTCTCTCTTGAAAGGAGTTTCCTAAGGAGGGATACAAACAGGAAGCGTTATTTGCATTTGCAGAGATCTGAACAACAGATTCCACTAAGTCAGTATAAAATCATCCACAACAAAAAACAAATGAGAGAGAAGGACTGAGGCGGGCAAAGTAAAAATACAAGAAGGGAAAATTCAGACAAGCTACAGACAGCTTAAATACTAGCTTCCTAAAGCTAGTGAGCATTGTTTAGGTATATCTTTACTTCATGAGAGGTTCTGTTACAACTCCAGAAGCAAAGCAGACCTGCAAGTTACAATACATCCAAGACAACAGACATTGCCCAATAGACAAAAGGGTAGAGACTGCCAGAAGCAGCACTGGGGTAAAAGCTTCCTAGAGTTTAGCAACTTAGACTTTAGATCTGATAAGGTGAGAGGAAGTTTGGCATACTTGCACTCAGAACATTCAGAAGCCACATGGTCTCTATAATATTGTGACTAAAATAATTATTCCTAAATATTGTATATAAAGCCAATTTATGTGTCTGTTGAAGCACTGCCTGATGAGAAGAGCCATAGTTGTTGCCCTTCAGTGTTTAGGCTCACAAGCCAAACCTTTGGCCACGCCTAGTTACTGACTTGCACACAGAGTTGGTTACTTCTCATTTCCTTACCTGGCAGCTTGAGTAGCCTGCAACTGAAGCTCCATATTATTGCTATTAACTCCTTTGACTATTTCTTCAACAGACCAGTGTGCAGAAACCTGTACAAAAAAAGTTCCATGAGCACTCTGCTGGGAGAGGCACACATCTGTGGAAGTCTTTACACAGTGCTAGGAAGAGGCCACAGTTCAGTCACATCCTTCAGTAAAAGTTATGCCCTTATGTGACACTCCAGAAATTCAGCTAGTTTAATCCATAGTTATTTGAACTACTGAAAACTTGGTTTCATGTGACTGATACATAGAGACAGCAAGTTTGAACAACTGCCCAAGCTCTTTACAAGATACCTCAGCAGCAGCACTGAGAAGAGGATAAATATTGCACATGCTCACAAGCTACTTAAGGATCTAAGTTGTAGTCTATTGAAGTTATTATCACTTATTATCAAGCCTTTAGTTGGTAATGTGCATGTAACTGTGCATCCCACAAGAGAAGAAATTCGTATTAGTGTGGCCACTGAAGTTGTTGCCACTTGTTCTGGGTACCTACTTACCTGATTGCTCCTATTTTCCTGAAGGGGAGAAGTGGCCTCGTCTGGAAAAGTGCTAACATTTCTTCTTTTAAGCATCTGGTCATCTTTTTTAGCTTTCCTCAATTCTACATTGACTTCAATACGCCGCCTTCTCATTTCCTAGAGAAAACATGTTCATAATAAGTTCTTTACTTTTACAACTCCATGAAGTACTGAGAGCTAGCTATAATATTTACCCACGTTTGAATACTTACTGTAGTATCTTTTCCTTTGTTTTTGAATCTGTTCAAGCGAGCTGCTGTATTGGTATTCTCATTAGAGGACATCTTGCTTAGAGTTCAAAAGACAAACGAGGAGAAAAAAGCCTGAAAACCAGAGTAAATGGTAAAGAAAAACTAGAAGCTTAGGTCACAGGAACACAAAAAGATAAGACTCAAGATTTGAATCCAAGAGAATAGCAAATACATTAACACCCTCTGACTTGATTAAAGATATTAGTAACGTAACAAGCTGCCTTTTAAAAAAGCTTAGCTGTTACAGCAGCCTCTAGTATTAACAGAGCACATTTTAAACACCCTTTTAGCCACAAACATCATTTTCATTCCCACAGACAGCATTTTAGAACACATAAGCTATTTCTTTTATGTCCTAAGGATCTATGGCACAGGCTGCCACCCACACCCACCCCAGCTCCTCTCGAGAAGAGCAGAGCCCTGGCACCAGGAAGGCCCTCTGAGCGAGCTCACCATGTCGGTGCAGCCAGCAGATACGCTACCAACGAAGCAGGCTTCCACAAGGCCAGCTCCAAGGTGAACCACTACAGAAAAGCTACCTTTATCTCATACGCAGCCCCACCAAAACGCGAAAACCCCTTCGGGACGTGCCAACCCCATGGGATTCATTTTTAGTAGCAGCATGAGACCGCAGAGACCCAGAAAGCTCCGGAGCAGAAGCCGAGAGTGCCCCACCGCCAACAGAGCACAACCCCTTCAGACACAGCAGCACGCGCTCCACACCTCCGCCGCACCACCCTTTCCTCACAGCACCTCTGCGGCACCCCCTCCTTTCCGGCTCCGCACCTCGGCTGCAGACTCCGCACACGAGCCGCCCCCAGCCAAGGACCACGCTGCCACTAACCTCGGCGGCTCCAGGCGGGATTTAAATTTCCCGCTCCCTCCCTCTACCATTGGCCAGTTCGAGCCATAGCAACGTTCTGATTGGCCGGTTTGAAATGCGGCTCATCTCGCGATGAAAGGGAGAAAATCTTCGCCGTGCTCCCGGAAGAGCGCAGCGAACGTCACGCACTCAAACCGCCGCCCGCCCTCCCGGCACTACAACTCCCAGCATCCAACGCGCCGCACGCGGGGCCGGAACCCTGGGGACCGACGGCCGTGGCGTGCTGGGATTTGTAGTTTCGTGCCGCCTGGGCAATGAGTGGGGCGGCCACGGGTTTACAGTACCCGGAGTGGGCTGAGAGCATGGAGGTTCTTCTAGCTCATGCTGCCCGTCCTGAGCGATTTGCGTCAGTAACGCATCATTTCCTCACGTACAGCCTCATTTCTGCATCACTAACCATCAGTCATCAAGGGCTTCTCCCGAGATCCCCCGTGTGATCCCAATCCCATAAATGCGGTGTAGGAATGTCCCGTAGGAATTGAAGGCAATCCAGCAGCAACCAGTACAAACCAAAATAAAATCATACAACCATTACTGTGGATCCCAACCAAGGAACCACAGCTACCAGAACCCCAGCACTTCAATGCCTATGAAGGACAAATCGGGGTAAAAAGATCACATCGATTCCTACCAATGAAACCACTGCATTAAACAGACCGTACCGACCTGGAGAGGCACACAGCAGTTAGCAAAGATAAACTGAGCGAAGAAGGAATTACCAGCCATGTTTTACACGGCTGGTTTTGTGCCTTACTATGCTGCTCTTTATAATAACATCCCTCAGCGTTCAAGCAAGGGTAAGGAAGTCAAGAGAAAGCACGTCAGTCAACCGAAATGGCAAGTAGGGAAAATTAAAAAAAGTTGAAATTGAGCTAAAACACCCGGCGGGCCAAAGAAGAGGCACGGCGGCGTGCAGGTGGTCATCAATGGCTGCAGGGCGCCGTGTGGAACAGCGTGCCCAGGGTGGGAGCGCAGGGATGGGCGCGGCAGGGCAGGGAGGGCTGCAAGGAGCCGAGCCGCGTGCGACCATTGAAGGCCTCTTCCACGTGCGGGGCGGCGGCCTAAAAGGCGGCGAGAGGGCGGGCAGCTGAGGGAAACCAACGGGTTACTGCAGAACGGCGCGGATGGGATGGGCGGCCCCGCACAGATTGAACTGCGCCTGAGGTAATGGGGACAGCGGAGGGAGAACAAGAGATAAAAGCGCCGCAGCTGCTCACGGGAGAGCGCTGCGAGAGGAGCAGATGGGGCGGGGCTGCTGCCGGCACCGCACCACAGCCGAGGGGCGGGAAGCGGCGCTTCGGGAGGCCGTGAGGGGGAGAGTTTTTAAAGGAGAGGACCTCGGGGAAGGCGGCCGGCGGCGGATCTCCTCAGGCAGCCACCCGCGGGAGGGAACGGCGCTCACGTCCTCGCGCCACGCTGAGGGAAGCAACGACCACCGCGCGTGACAGACTGAGGCGCGCGGGACAGGGGAGGGGCCGAGGCGCGAGCCCACCTCTGAGGGCCGCACAGGACCGCGCGAAGCTCAAGGGGCGGAGCCTCGGGGAGGCACTGACGAGGGCGGGGCCTCCCGCTCATGAGCAGGGAGAACGTTAAAGAGCTGCAGGGGCGGAGCCAGCGCCTCCGGGCGGGGCTCTTACGGCACGGCGCTCGCAGCTTTTGCTGGGTGACCCAGTGGCCTAATGGATAAGGCATCAGCCTCCGGAGCTGGGGATTGTGGGTTCGAGTCCCATCTGGGTCGTGCCGCCGATGTTTTGTGGCAGCTCGGTACATTCAGCGCGGGCGTCTCCCGCCGAGTAGCTCGTAGCGCAGTGCGTGCACTCCTCACTTTTGGCCGCAACCGCAGCGGCTCCGAGCCCCTCCGCCGCTCTCCTCCCGGCTCCGTCGGCGGGGTGGCGAGCGCGGTGCCGGTACCGCCGCCCCGTCCTTCCCCTCGGAGCAGCAGCGAGGTGCGCGGAGCGGAGCGATCGTCGGTTCGTCGTGCGGCTGAGCGAGCGATGAGCGGCTCCGCAGAGCTGCCAGTACTTCGGGCGGCCCGGTCCGACTGCCGAGCCGAGGCCGCGCGCAGCGCTGACAGCCGGGCTGTGGCTGCGCTGCCCTGGGCGGCTCTCGGCGCCGGGAGGTGCGACGCGGCCGTTCCGGCGGTCACAACGGGGCTTCGGTCCGGTAACGAGATCGCCTGTTTCGGCGGGATAAACCTGCTTAAACGCAGCGACCCACTCGGGGGTCGGTTTGGGGTGTAAAATTTTGCACGTCAGCTCATAGAAATCGAGAAATAAAGCGGTGTCTGCGGTCAGCAGGGCTTCCTCTCGCGCCGGGCGATAACCGCTGCACGGGAGCGGTCCCTCGGCAGGCGATGCTCCGGCCGCGCGGTTGGAGCCCTCGGGTTCCTGCCGTATCGCTCAGCTTTGGCTGCCCGTCCGCCGCCCAGCAGAGCCTCGCGCTCTCCGGCTCTCCTCGAGCAATTCCACGGGCAGAGCGAGGCGCTCCCCCAGTCTCGCCGCGAGCCTCCCGTCCATCCGTTACGCACTGCGGGGCTGTGGGTGCGGGCTTGGTGCTGCTCCAGGGGGCTGTCCGGCGGCGGTTCCCGTTTCCCCTAAGGCTGCCTCTCATTAGCATGAATCGGGGGAAGGGCATAAAAGACTCCGCTTCGTTTTGAGGCTGGAAAAAAAAAAAAGAAAAAAAAAAGAAAAACAAAACTTTTACTTCAAAATGACAACCAAAGCGCTCTGGCTCCTCTGCTTTATCATTAGATCGTCTTGCAGCTCGGTGGCCGGTAAGTTCCATACAGCGGGGCTGGGCACACATCTGTCTGCGATGTTAGGGGAGGTTAAAGGCATTTCCACAAATTCTCACCAAAGCAGCCCACTCTCCAGCAAGTTGTAGCACGAATAACGTAAAGGCTCAGGAAAGAAACGGGTTGGGAATGTAAACTGTAGTAGCTGCTTTGTTGGGGTCAGAAAGAACGAGGAGCACCTGTCTGAAGCAGGCAGGCAGCTGGTGCTGTGCATCCATCCTGCCTGCACTGGTCTGCAGGTGAAGTTTGCCTTCGTTCTGCATGTGGGATTTCTCCATTTGCATGTGGTCGTGCCCTTTTACTCTCTTTCTCTGCGCTGATAAATTCTGGGTCTAGAATTTATCCCCTGGAGCAAGCTGTCATGAACAAACGTATCTTATTTCTGCAACTAAAGGTGATCTATTCCATAGGAAGGAGAAGTCCAGGAACTGATGATGGGGCAGTTGTATTTCTTAGGTTGCAAGAGGTGCACGGGAACACGCTGGTGTCGCAGAACGAGGCTCAGCATCCTGAACAGATGGAGTAGGGACAAATGAACCATTTCTCGTTACAGGCCGTGACTGAGAGGGCTCAATAAACTGACAGAAAAGTGCATTTATAAAAGCCAAATTTAAAACACCTGCTCAGAGCACACAGCTTCATATGGGAACAGCTCCATAACACCCTTGCCTATTAATTTCCTCAGCTTGGACTTCTTCCACCCTTTTCTTCATGGGCATTCTTTTGACTTTACATGTGGCCAGCCCAAATATCAGGGAATCTTTCCCATGACAGCAGCTGGTGAGAGCAGAGGGGGAGAAATGGCAAGGTCAGCAGCTGAGAGTCAGTTATGGAAGATAAACCAGGATGTTGTTCATCTGTGTGAGTCAAATATCTCTTTTCACACAAGGAGTCAGGATCAGCCTCCTACACAGTGCTAACCACAGAGCGAACACCCAGACAGCGGCTGTGTGTGGGTGAACTGCTCTAAAACCCTGCACTGGCCAACTAAATGGAGGGCTCCAGCACAGGGAGGGAGAACTGCAAGAGGCAATTTCTCTCTTCCCAGCATAAAAGAAAAGTCTTTTGCTTTGTGAGCTCCGAGCAATCAAGGTGAAATATAAACTAAGCTCTAGGTAACTGTGCAGCTTGCACAAACAGTGCCATTAAGCCTGTCCCTTTGTCACTGCAGTCCCAGACGCTTCCTGTCTTTTTCAGCTCTTGTCCTCTCAGCTTAAGAAAAGGCTTGAAATAATTGTTACTCAGCAGCAATAGCCTAGCTACCAGACTAGGTCTTCTTGGACTCCCATACAACTCTGCAGTGCAAAAGTCAGAGATCCAAAACTGCGGATAAAGATCTTTTCAGTAGCGTTCAAAGCCGAAAGCCGCTGAAAAGTCCAGATGACATTGTCAATAAGGCATCCCATGGATGGGAAAACCAAATAGTTCTGTTGTCATGGTCTTTTAAATAAGCATCCCAAATGGCAATGTGAATTTTGTTTCCTCAGATGCTCCCTGGAGATTCAGGCTTTTGAGAAAAGGGTTTGTTTATAAGTGATGTTTTTAATTTACAACAATAATAAAGTAAAAATGCAAATCTCCTGTGTTTTGCTCGCAGCTGCATTCTCTGTATCAGGCCTTCTGTGGCTGAATACAGACAAATGAAGGGCTCCGTTTTATCAGTTGAGCTGTGATGTTATGCCATCATGCATTCGAAGGCCTCGTTTATGGAGCAGACATCCAATCTGCCAGGTACTTCCCATCACATGGGCACGAAATAATAAACAATTCTGACTTGCTCTCTCTCTCTTTCTTTTCTTTTTTTCTTTTCTTTCTTTTTTAATGCAGGATCCCTGCCCTGTGCTGAGAAAGCCAGCCAGTCTCTTAGCAAATATGGGTATAACTCAGCAGATGCGACACCCAGCCAAGCCAAACTGCCAGCCTGGTCCACTACTAGAGAGGATCCCACCGAATACCGATTTCTGTCTCCCACCAACCTGCAGCACCCAAAACCTCCTGAAATCACCTCCCTCTCTTCAGACAAAAAGAAACGAACCAAGCCTTCTACTGAAAACAGCACAGGGCTGAGGAAACACCTCCTGCAGCATGGAGGGACCCTGCCTCTGGAACCTGCAAGCGAGGGGCCTTCTCCCACCTCCTTTGACTTGAATCAGGCAAACAGAAAGCA